GGTCACCGCCCCTCGCCCGCGCCGGCCGTGGACCGCCAAGCAGTGCTCCTAAAAAAGCCGCCCGTGCCCGTCGCGGCACGAGCGGTTATTGCCAGTGGCTTGACGTAGATTCATGAAACCTTTCGGAGCGGGCCGAGTTCTTGACGGCAAATGCCAGAAATCAACGAGCCTTTGGTCTGTGCCACTCTCTGCTGCTGGCGGTGCAGCGGACGCTTGTGCGACGGATGGCTTCGCTCGCGTCCTTTCATGGACACCTTCTGTCTGTCCTTCCGCCTCGCAGATGGCGGAAAGACAGGCGGAGGGTGTCAATTTTTAATTTTTAAAAATGTTTTTGATATTTATTTTTTGGATTTCGCGGGTTCTTCAAATATTTAATCTGAACATTTTGAATGGATGGATTTCTGGGATCAAAGCTCACCCTCGGCCGTGCTTGTTGTGTGACCTCTGACCCCCACCATTTGATCGTGAAAGTCCGGATCAGCGGCGGAATTTGGCGGCGAAAGTTAAGCGTGCCGCAATATTCGGCACAGTCTGTCCTACCCTCGGACCTCAGCTGACCGTTAAAACGACCGCTGCCACCGGCCGCAGGCCATGTCTGGAAAATAGCGGGCGCCCAAAGCGACTCGATCCCACCCCATCACGGGTGGGTGGATCGGAAGACGGCCGCCCTAACCACCTGAGCCATCGCGACGGATAAATATCGTTTACAAAAACATTTTTGTTCTTCACTCACGTCTTTTCCGGCGTCAGATTCGTTTTAAGCCCAGCTTCCACGCCCAAAAACACCTATTGATTGTGACGGTAGCCGCAAGTCACCATCAAAAGAGAAGCCATGCTCTTATCTCGGAGGTGTAGCAGTGATGCTGTTGTGATTTTGTTGCCGACCGTGTTGTAAAAATGGCTCGTAGTTCGCTCTGCTCGATAACCCTTCGTTGTCGTAGTCTTCTCGAAGAGTTAGGATGAGGCGTTAGCCTTATGGCGTTAGCCTCTGGCGCGGTTTACGACCGAATGACGGCACGAGAAAAGTGTGGTGTGAGACATCACACTTTACGTCACACAGCACACAGGGAAGGGGCGCAAATCTCGATGGTTCGTATCGTTACAACATGAGGCTCGCAATCGTATGGTAAAAGTCTACAAAGCTGATGCTCAGAAGAGGGTCGTAAGGTCCAGGCGTAAAACGCCGAGGTGGCCCCACACCGCTCATTAAACCTTGCTAACCCAGCGTACTACGGCTAAAACTCAGCCGTAGTACGTGACCCAATCCTGCGATGTGGGCATTGGATGTCTCGTTTTCACGAGAGCATGGGACATCATGATCTTGATCAGTAGACATGTTGATGTCACTGCGTGGACTTACAGGACACAAAACCCCAAAGCATACAGTTTTTTTTATAAAAAATCTATCGGGGCCAACACACGGATGTTGTGTTCTTTTTTTGTTATCTCAATGTCGTTAATGTTGTACAACATGCATTAATAATGGCTGGTTTGTAGGCCCAACCCACAAAGATACCGAATGTGGTGTTCCTTCGGCGTGGAAGCGCTGTTATCCCCAAATGAAATCCCTAAATGTCAGCCGGTCGACAGCACCTTTGCCGCTGCGTGCGTCAGCTGGCGGCACGTGTCCTTGCGTGCCCTTGGCGCGCCCTTGACTGACCTCTGCTCTTGCGTTTGGCGGCAGCTGCAGCGCACGCGACGCGTGTCGGTTTTCCCAGTGGGCCTGGTGTCCCGGCAAGGCGTCAGTTCGCCAGTCGTCAAGGACGGCCGCGTGGTCGCCTTCTTCGACGGCTGGATCGGCGGTCGCAAGTTCCCCATGGACATGGCGGGCTTCGCCGTCAGTGTGGACTGGCTGCGACAGGTTAGGACACTGCACTGCTATGATAACGCGAATGTGTCATCTTCCGTGGTCGTTTTAATGTGATGGGTACTCTGTTGGATGCTCAAATAATGGTCTTCTTTTGCAAGTGTTTTGAGCGTGTTTTGCTCTCTCTCTCTCTCTCTCTCTCTCTCTCTCTCTCTCTCTCTCTCTCTCTCTCTCTCTCTCTCTCTCTCTCTCTCTCTCTCTCTCTCTCTCTCTCTCTCTCTCTCTCTCTCTCTCTCTCTCTCTCTCTCTCTCTCTCTCTCGCCGTTCCGCTCCCCGCTACCTTTCTTCTTTGCTGGCATATACTGCTGTCGTTTGAAGTCCGCCTTTGCAGCATGCAAGTTGTCCACGACTTGTGAGTCAATGCTATTCCCTCCAAAGTACTGGGAGGTTGAATGAGTGATGTCAGATGGAGATAATGCGGGTGAAAACGATGGTGATGATGAGTGCTATCAGCTGAGGACAAATTCCAAGTTTTATCGGAACTTCGCCAAATTGTACGTGAGAGCTGAGTAAAAAAATAAACGTAATTGCTGTAATTGCTGTAAGTGATATGATTACTCTAAAGCCACGGCACTATACTGGTTAATAAAAATCGGGATTATGTCATTACTGTAACTTTGATTATAACCCTTAAAGCCAAGGAGGAAGACCAATACCGCCATGTCTTCCTTTTCAACCTTTATTGCCGAGGCCCTCCCAAGCGGCCTATATTCAAGTAACGAATAAAATCCTTCGCAAACTGACATTACCTACCCGATGTTAGTTACCATGAAGGCAGAATATTCCACACAGGTTCTGAATTCTAGAGTCTGACCACTGACCAACCGTTTTTCAGCAGGCGAAGTCTTCGTGATCTAACGCAACCCGAAATCCACAATTGAGTAGCTGCTCAGCCCTGGCATCTTGGCAAACATGGGGTGCAAATTACGTTTATTCAAACAAAAATGAACATCCGGGGATGCGTGCAGCTCGCACAACCCATGCTCATGCCACAGAGAGGCATGACATTTTCAATAAATTTTTGAATACAGAAAAGTAAAAAGGATTTGAAATAAATGAGCAGACATGGTAAAACAGCATAGCTAGGATTTATCGCGGCATGAAAATGGATGCAACGATGGCTTGGCTCACACTATACATTCTTTGATTCATCAGTAATCGTCAGAGCTGTTTTTTCTGATCTCAACGTTGTAGTTGTTCGTTAATGATACTCGTATGTGTTTTATTGGTTCCTTAATAGCAGGGCTAATCACGGAGAATCCTTCCTATGCCGTAGCTGCACCGAAACTGTTCTGATGCGCCATCACCGTATCAGATAACAAACAGCCTGATTTTGGTTCCAGTAATCTTATGTTCTGCCAGATACTTCGCCATGTGAAATCCCAATAATGGATGCATGTAAGGTTTACAGACGGTGAAGTTTTTACTTGTTTGGCTGTGACCGGCGATATGACGGAAAGTAAACGTTTTAGTATTGGGTAGGGACACAAGAAATAAGTACTAAGCTAGGTGCGCTTGTAAAAGGGCCCATTTCAATGTTGTAAGATCTGTAGAGACCCTAAACACCTCCAGATAACCAAGTGAAATTATCCGTTAAAATCTCGTGGCACGATAAAAACATTTGTCCGCTAGGACGATAATAACATTCTAGGGCGATAATAACCTTTGTTCGTTAGGACGATAATCAAATTTGTCCACTAGGACGATCAAAACCTTTGGAAGACTTGCTAGCATAACCACTTGTCTGAAACAGATTATTCAAACAGAGCTATCTCGTCTCCTGGGAGCTAAAACAATGGCTTTTGAATTTTACTAACGGGCTATGGTCAGTGGCGTGCTTCGATGTTTACTTGAAAAATCTTTCTCAGCGCTTCGCCATGCAGCGGTCACATCAGACACTTCCGGGAAACACAAGACGATCTCGCTGTCTCTGATTGGTTTAGCCCACTGGCTCCGCCCCTCGTTATACGTTTTGGATTGTTTGATGATCGTGCAACATCACATAATTTCAAAACGCTCAGAAGAACGGGACGTTTGCTGATGGTGTGTGTGTGTGTGTGTGTGTGTGTGTGTGTGTGTGTGTGTGTGTGTGTGTGTGTGTGTGGGTGTGGGTGTGTGTGGGTGTGTGTGGGTGTGGGTGTGGGTGTGGGTGCGTGCGTGCGTGTGCGTGTGCGTGTGCGTGCGCGCGTGCGTGTGTGTGTGTGTGTGTGTGTGCATGCGTGCGTTCGTACGTGCGTGCGTGCGTGCGTGCGTGCGTGTTAAGTGGAAGAGGGGAGAGGCGATTTGATAAAACACGAAAGAGAAACGCCTCCGACGGCAGTTAGAGACCCGAAAACGGCGGCCCCTTGCCACTCAACGACAGCCCTCCCAGCCCACCATGGATCACAGATAAAACTTTGGGCACAAGCTTGCATGACTAGAATGCACCGTTAGGAACAAGACTCCGACGCCCTGCAGCTTCGGCTGCGACGAGACGGTTCCCGCGGGCTTGGAAGCCGTCGGGATAGCATGCCTGCCGTTAAAAGCATGCTGGATTCCCAGCGCGGAATTCCCAAGGCAGCGGTTAGGTGCGTGTGTTTTTGTTGACATGTTTCACACGGCTCCTCACGGAACATTCTAATTACGGAAGCTTGTGCCCAAAGTCCTTGTCTGTGGTCGGCGGTGGGCTGAGGGAGTTGGTGTGGGGCGTCGCCTACATCCCAGGTTGCCAGGTGACGTTCCACACTGGCGGTGAAGCAATCCAGGTAGCAAGCCTGCCGTTAGAAGCACGTCAGGCTGCTACCATGCAATTCCCATAGCAACAGCAAGGTTCACGTGATTTTAGTTTCCATATATGTGTTCAGTTATTTATTATATACAGCATTTCATTTTTGCAGCACATAGACGCAGCCTGAGGTCTGGTTGCTGGGAATACGCCAGCAAGGTCGGGTCCAGTAAACATTCTGGGTGGATCACGTAAGCATTTAGGAGTTTTCTCCCGAGCTGGATACAAACTTTCTGCTGAATAATGAGGCCTCCTTCGCAATAAACTCATCTCCGGTGCACAGCAAAGACAGGTTCCCTGCAGCTAACTGTGTTTCTATGTGCGAGTGGTGACACATTCATACTAATCATGTACCACCTCTGTAATCAGCACCCTCAAACGGCTACAGCCGTCGACCAACGCTCGGTCTGCGGTCAAGGTCGCCCGCCGTCGATTAGTTAGTTTTCATAGCCGCTCATGATCGGGCTCACGACTTAACGCCAATATTTACCACGGAAAAAACATGAAGCGTTGCACGTCACCACGTGGTGAGACTCGTGGCGCCGCCTCTTCTCACCTTCTCAGACAATTTGCCGTCACGGCGCAGTGGCTGTCCTCCCCCCCCCCCCTTCCCCAAAAAGAGAAAAAGGGTCCACATCGTTAGCGGTGACTTGACCCAGTTCCGGGACTCCATGTCTAGGACGGATCGGCTGAGAACGTCAGGCTCTGAGAACGGGATCCGGTGTCAGCTGTGTTTCGGTTCCCTTTCGTTCAACCAGCGCGAAAAAGTGAGCGTTGCTCAGCCGTGGCAGCTCCTCATCGTCTTTAAACGTGAGGTAGACTTGTCATGCTGCTGTAGTCCGCAGTAATGACGAGCGAGAGTGAACAGTGATGCATTGATATCGCTGGAATTGATACGGTGATATAGTGACACCACTGTGGGTGATGCAGTGACACAGTGATATTGCTGGGGGTGATGCGGTCATTCAGCGATATCACTGTGGGTGATGTAGTGATAAAGTGGTATCACTGGGGGTGATACAGAAATACATTGGCGAGTACACAGATATTGCGAGCACTATCCACTAAATTCAGTTAACTGCCAGTTGTTTACACTGCATTTAGACATTTCCTATCATTCCCAGTTATTTGTAACGTCTCCGGTATCTGATCAATCTCCGATATACTTTGATCAGTCGGTCTCGATCGTCGCACACGACCTCCTGTTATGGGTATAATTTCCCGTTCGAAGAGCTCTGTAAGTGCTTTTAAGGATAAACCCTCGCCCTGATTTACTGTTTTTCACAATGCGGGCTGACAGGGTGTCGATGTGACCCCCTGCCGTTTCCTAAGATAGCGCTTAGCGGAAAATATCAATAGATTGGTTTAACGAGATCTCGTGGCTGGTAATAACTGTTATGTTACGATGTCACGAATTGGCCCATTAGGCCAGGTCAAAAGCCGAATTTTCCGGCCGAAAATAGAAGTTTCTCTCTCGTCTTTGCGTGCTCACATGCCCAGTACCATGCGTCGTAGCGGCGCCAAGCACATACGTGTATATTTGTATGTGTTTAGGACAATCTCTGTGATATGTGGCTCCGCTAATTTAACAATATCGGCCTGCCGCGCGCGCTCGGCGGTACGGTCTGTTGCCGCCGGCCACCGGCGCAGGTCGTAGATCGCCGTGTAGTGTTCAAAAGCGCCGCTGCTGCGAAATCAGAAATGCTAGTGACGCGTGTTTTCGGTAAAAACGCGCGCAATGGAGTCTCCATAGGCTACCAACAATTTGGGCGCGATTGCTCAACATTCATAGGAGGTGGTCTTAGATAACCTTGTGGGAGATCGCATCAACCCCATCCCCCCCCCCAAACACATCCTATGAGGCTAGGGGTAACGTTCGTAATTGTTGTTCATATATTGTGATATACGCGCGATCTCACCGTCGAGTCGACAGGCGTCTTGTCGACCTCATCAGTCGACAGGCGTCTCGGTGACCGTTGGCAGCGGCAGTGGGTCGGCCGCCGTCTCCGGCGGTCGGCCGCAGAGGCGCGCTCAGGCACGCGCACTAGAAACGCAATATTGTTCTAGTAACGCGCACTAGTTACGTAGTAGTGATATAGTATGATATGGTCATATGTATGTAATGCTCATAGCTCGTTTGATGGCAAAAGTTGCATCTATCCAAACCTAGCATTGTTTTGACGACATGAGATAGGTGTAGTTTACTCTTCCATTGGGAGAGCTCCAGCCCTGCCCCGCTCCAACTTGGAAGCTCTAGCACCACCACCCAACTTTGAGAGAAAAGTTGGACAATTCCGGAGGGCGACCGCTTTCTGGCGAATTTCTAAAGTATATTTCTTTATTTTCACGGTTCAGCCCCCGCCCCCACCCTTCCCCTCAACTCCCTTTGCGAAACTTCGACCCTGCGACATACCATGATATATTGCGATTTTTGTGTTGAATAATGATAAACCGCCGCCAGACATCAGTGTTGATGTCTATAGTACCCATCACCGTACAAACACTTACGGGAAAGTGCCCCAAATCAGTGGGAAATGCTACTTTCGCCGAAGCATCATACAACTGAACGCCTTGCTTCGTTCCATGTGTATACCCGACATGCTAGTGTCATACTCAGGGAATGCAACGAAGAGCTGTGCGCCCATGAAGCGTGGAAAACTTTTCCACGGACGCGATGAATAGCAGAATGCGCAAAGTAGCTAAATTTGAGCGCGTGGACTGATGTGAAACATAACCAGAATGTAATGTGAGTGTAAGAACAAGTCGTGGGGAGAAGAATTCTGTGCATGAAAACAGAGGAAGAACTGCAGGTAAAACGGTCAAATGTGGTTAAATAGTGCTGTAGGACGGTCAAATAGTACAGTAATGTGGTCAAATAGTAGAGTACAAGCAATTTTTCCCCAAAAGCTTAAATAGCACAGTACAAACGGAAGACAAAATTCATGACGTTTTCCTTCCCCCGTGTAACGGATGCCGCAGGTATCAAACAACTGCAAAAACTAGTACGTACACTGCAACCAGTGTTTAAATTCGACACCGTCCCACCCGCGGCGCCTCGAGCAGACACCTCAGTCATCGAAACTAATGACTGCTGAGTGGCAGAAAGAAGGGCATCCCGCCACCGCCCTGGCCGCAATCTTGCGGGCGGGTTAGTGGGCGGCCTCCGCCCGGCCCGGGGCCGCCTCTCCGAGCACCCCTGACGGCCACACTGAGAAAGATTTCTCCCCAGGGAGTTGTTCAGAGAGTGAACCCTCAAAAAGGCGTCACAATCGAGTTGTTCAAGGAGTAAACCCTCAAAAGGCGTCACAGTGATTCCAGAAACAGCAGACTTAGGGGTGTTTTGAGCAGCCAGCGTGCTGCAGCAGAGTGACTGCTCAAGTCTGAAGACCCACGCCTCTGTGACCTGCGTGCCTGCAACGGACTTCCCATGTAGATGGGAATCTCGCGCCAGTGGTGCAGCACTGCGCTGCATCATACAAGTCACGGCCGCGGCAGCAGAGCAGAGCGCCGCGTTTAAAACCAGATCAACCGACTGATAACCTCAAAAAGAAGCTCCAAGGATTGCTGGCGCCCGGTGACATGGCCGCAAAGCTTCATTTGCGTGCAGAACGTGACGTCACTGGTGCCCCGGGTTGAACGGTATGGCTGCCGGCTGCCCAGCGCTCACGAGGTGACAGACCTTGCTGCCCAACACTCACTGGGTCACTGACCTCGCTCCCCAGCACTCAAAGGGTCACTGAGATTGTCGCCCAGCACTTACGTGGTTACTGAGCTCGCTCCCCAGCACTCAAGGGTTCACTGAGCTCGCTGCCCAGTGCTCACGGGGTCACTGAGCTCGCTACCCAGCGCTCATGGGGTCACTTAGCTCGATGCCAAGCGCTCACGGGGTCACAAAGCTTGCTTCTCAGCGCTCATGGGGTCACTGAGCTCTCAGCCCAGCACTCGCGGGGTGACGGAGCGCGCGCCCCAGCGCTCACGGGGTCACTGAGCGCGCTGCCCGGAGTTCACGGGGTCATTGAGCTTGCTCCTCGGCGATAAGAGTCAGACATGAGGCAGCCGTTGGAAAGAGCGACCTCTGTTTGGTGGAGGTAAAACACCAGAGAAAAGCTGACGGTCTGTACAGCGCTCTGGTATGATTAATTTGTTCTGTCCTGTTACGTTCACGATTCCACACGATTCCACATTCCTATCCCGATGCGAACTTGCCGTCATGCCTCTTATCAGGCATTGCTCTCCTGACACCCCCCTCCCCGTGCCCCCGCTCCCATCCTGCTCCCCTCCGCACAAATATGAAATATGGATTAGAAGCAGTGTGCGCCATTAACTTCAAGATCTTGTTCACCTCTTTTCATTCTTGTTACCTCGCCAACAGAATCCCCTTCTGGTACTTGTTACTTCGCCAACAGAATCCTCTTCTTGTACTTGTTACCTCCCCAATGGAGTCCTCTTTTGGTACTTGTCACTTCCCCAATAGAGTCCTCTTTTGGTATTTGTTACCTTCCCAATAGAATCCCAATAGGTTTAAGTAACCTATAATAGCCATGCGCCATCCATATCATGATTTTTTTCCCGACAGAACCCTGAGGCGGAGATGCCCTACAAGGCTGGGTACGAGGAGGATGGGTTTCTGAAGGCTCTGAACATTGGCAGGGATGAGCTGGAACCCCTGGCTAACAACTGCTCGCAGGTATGCAGGTCGCAGGTTTGGTACGCAGGTTCCCCATGCGGATCCTTAAGCCAGTGCCATCCCGCTGGTGGCCGCGGCATTGACCAATGCCCATTGCCGTGGCCAAAACATGAGCAGGTCGTGTCTAGCTGGGTCAATACACGGCAGCTAGCACGGTTGAACACGTAGCGAGCCATTCGAGCGGTGGAAGCAAGGTCTATAGGCTAGCGTGGGTCAACCCGGCGTGTGTCGGATCACATGGCATGTCGTGAAGGTGACCCCCATGCGTCTAGGATGGCAAGCTGGGGTGAAGCTGATCAATAAGCTGGTTGGCTGCTTTGCTGAACTGGTTCATTAAACCGGTAAGGGGTGCAGTTTTCCGTTGAGGTACCCCCGTCTCCGGCGTGACCTCCAGTCCCTAATTTTTTAGAAGAAAGTCGACCAAGTTTGTGGAGGGAACCCGTACGTTGGCTTTTTAAGATACATTACGCCTGTTTTCATTGAACAGCCCCCCCCCCCCTCCCAGCTCGTTTTCCGAAACTACGCGCCTGGAACTGTTTCCCACGGATTGTTATCGTTTCAGATTCTCGTGTGGCACACGCAGACTCAGAAGGTGGAGCCGTTTGAGCGGGCAAACCTGGCTGACTTCGTCGACACCAACATCGTATACCTGACGAAACACCTGATGCAGAAGACTAGGTGACGGACGCGGCCCCGGACCGAACGAGGGTGACGTCACACCTGCCGCCATGTTGCTCCAGGCTAAACAAGGGTGACGTCACACCTGTCGCCATGTGCCTCCAGACCGAGAGCGAGTACAGTGTTCATTTACCTATGTCTTTACCTACACAGTGTTCTGCTATTGGTTGTAACTGATGGAAGTTGAGAAGGGCTCGTGAGCTGACATGATTTTAAGCTGTGGCGACTCGCGTGCTGATGTGCTCACATCGTTAGCGAACTTAAGGAGCCAGTGGCTAATGTGGAGAATATCGGTTGATACCTACTTGTTTGGCCCTGTTATGGAGGTCAAATTGTCGAACATCGCATTTGCGCCAAATGCGTATGCTCTTTGGCAATGCACCAATTGTTCCTGGCATTGTTACCTTTTTAGAAGCATTGTTACGTTTTTAGAAGCATTGTTGCGTTTTACAAGCATGGTTGCGTTTTCAGAAGCAATGTTGCATTTTTAGTGTTACAGCACTTGCTCTTGTTATGTCTGTGAATGTTGGCCAAGTGACGCATTTCTGTGATCTACGAGTCTTAAGTCTGAACGATAAAATATTATTTCAATCATTGTCATAAATAGATTTAGCATTTCTCGGTAAAGGTAGAATCATTTGATATTTTGTCGATAAGACAACGTTCCGAAGCAAACGAGATGACAATAAACTGAAACTGCACTGCATAGCCTTGTCTTTGCTGACGGGAGGATATTAGTACTAGTCCCGTGAGAGGACCAGAAAGATATACTAAATCAAGAGTGGATTTTCCTTTTCAGCTGGGGGAGGGAGAGGTGCTTCAGCGCCTAAACTGGACTCCCCACACTCCCAACTTTGAGAAGATAGTGAGCAAAATCTAGGTATGAGCCCGTTTATGGGCGTAACTTTGTGGTGCGTTGAGTCATTTTCCACTTTTCAGCCCTCCCCCACCCCTGCACAACTCACGTTTTGAAATTACGCTCCTCCAATAAACAAAAATTGATGCATCTTGGATAACGATTTAAAACAGGCATAAGCGTATTCATCCCGATTGTTACAAGCAGGTGAGGTCAGTGACTTTAGGTGGAATACTTTTTTGCTATTTTTCGTCAAAAATGCGTATGCGCACGTATTTTCTGTCCTTTTGGCATTTGTATATGAAGAAAAAAACTGGTTCACACGTGCAACACTAATCATACCACAGAACACATAGTACTGGCCCAGGTTATGAGACAATTTTATTAGCTAAGTTTGTGCGCAGGAATCATATATTTTACTGAAATATGTGTACTCATTCTAACGCATAATGAGGTCACAAAAGGTCACGTGCGGACATCCAAGATCACATGAGGGCATACCAGGGTCAGGTACCTCTGTTGTCAGTAGCGGAGAGGTCATATGCGCGTGTACGACCGGTGTAACCATTCCTTTATCGTGTTTGTAAAGCTGGTGACGCATACTTTCATGTACCAATGTGCCTGTTCTCAGTTTGTCACAAATACACTGGCAAACGTCGAGGGGCTATGTGTACTGTATACAAGACCTACATGAACTTGAGTGCCTGTAGATGTACATTGTACAACACATTAGTTCTGATCAGAAAAAAACTGCACTGGACATTTAGACCCGGCTAACACTTGTTTCTGACTACAGAAAAACACTTAGACCCGGTAAGCTGATCAGTTTTGTCATGTGGATGGTTTATAAAGTTGACCTAAGTTGACGTCAGCTGACCTTTAGGTCGGCCTAAAATGGCATTGTGGTCTGGGATACTTTTGTCCCACAGCTTCACCCAATGAAATAAACTTAGAAGCGCTTTTTACATGAAAAAAACATCGTTTTTGCAGGCTACTGGTAGACCAATTTTGAGCGATGACCTGGCCTGATCTAACCCTTGTCGCGAACAAACGTGATCGGAATGGACCACCGACAGCCTTAACGCTTGCTTCCCTAAATATTAATATCGATGTTTAACATATGTTTATACCGCATCGATCAATTACACTGTTTTTTCCAAACCTCTGGTGACCTCACATTTCACCTACGGTCAGAAATGTTGTATGCATTCGTGATGATTCGACACCTGCACAACGGTATCTTTTTTCTCGCGCGGTGTCTGGAAGCTGGAGATCACCTCAGATCACATCATCATCATCATCATTATCATCATCATCACATCAGATTACAGTTGGAGGTATATTTCCCGCACGGCCGGGTGCCATTGTCTTAGAGCTCCCGGCCGGGCACAAGTTATCATTAACATGAAGCGCTGCACTATATTTTTGTCCTAGCCTTTCCTCGAATCACAAATGAGATGTGGCGGTTGGGAATCCGCATCTCATCAAATTTCGTGAATTAGGCTCGTGCTTACATATCCAAGAACCTGCTAGATGTTCTCCCTTGATAGTAATGCGCAACGAATGGCCACCATTTGGCCAGCGTACCCACAAGCCAGGCGTAATTTTAATAGACGTATATCTATTATTTGAAGCTCAAAACTGGTAAACCGTACACTGGTATCACGTGAAAACAAAAGAAAGCATGTAAGAAATCTAGCAGTGTGTATTACGTCCCATTTTACGCCAGCTGTTCAGTGCATTAGCGAGGAACACTTTTCACATTTTTTTTTCAAATGCAGTGTTATTAACCTTATTCCTCGGAAAAACCAGGAGAATCGACATATAGTTCGGCTGATATTTCGGCCACATGTCTTTGTCGAAACAATAGCGGAAGTGAAACTTTCACTTCTGCTTTTGTTTCGATAAAGGCATGTTGCCGAAATATCAACCCAAGTATATCTCCATTTTCCTGGTTTCTCCGAGGAATATGACTAATACCACCGTCTTATCTAGGTCCCATTTTACCTTTCACCGGTACTATTTTCAGCATCTCGTTGCGCCTCTGCCAGTAACATAACTATTCACACTTAATTCCATATATTTATCTGAATGAATCTGCAACCCTTGGTTCATCCTAAAATTCACAGGGTGTGCGTCACACACCTGGCGTTCAGCAGCGGTGGCGCCTGCATTACAGGGACTGCGTCACGTTTGAAGATATATAGACAAGCATATTATATAATGGGAAATGCTCAGTCGTGACTATGAATACATTTCAGGCGCAAAAATGCCCTAAATAACAAAATTTCACCTACTTTCACTTCCAGCTCGCGAAGTAGAACACCTGGTGCTCATTACGCCATTGTTTCATTACGTCATGAAAAGTTTGCATGACATCAAAACGCTGCCCAAACTCCCACGTCAGAGTTGCCGACATGGCGGACGGCGCGACTCACTTGCGGTGTTGCGATGCGCCGCAAGGTGACGTTGACATGGGTGTGAATTGAACGGACGAGCGTATGCGCATGTGTTTCAACTTTTCCCGTGGTGTTTTTCCCCTGATGGCATATTTCTTTCATTTGTATTGTCAGCTATGTCGCTTTTCTTAACTATCAGATCGTCCTATTGCATATATATATTTATGTATATCCGTACCATTCGCTCTCGAAACTGATTCATGTTTTCACTTGTGTCATCGATGACAGTGAGATGTGGCGCACAATTCTAGATTCATTTCTGAATTTTTCATCAAGGGGGTAATTTCATCAACAAAAGAGTTTATTGACTCACAAATACATCAGCTTCAAAATAAACCAGTGTATTATCTTAAGCTCCGCAACAGTGATGTCAAATTCACCACCATGCAAACCAAGGCGTAACCTGGTTGCACTCGTATTGATATTATGTCCTGCAACATACACTCAAAGACATGATGACTAGTAGAATGGTCAGAGCCAGCTGAGCAACCGGGAAAAAATACTTGTGTTCTGGTTGAACGTACCGTGTTTAACTTTAAATCCAAAGCCTTCTAAAATTATCCGTACGCAATATATTTATCACGCAATATAGGGTTTTATGTTCAGGAACTCAGTTCTCCCTATCAGAACTTTAGAAAACAGGGAGAAAATTCTTACGTACCAATTATGAATGGCCAGCTGCCGTCATTAAATGTGAACTCCATAATACATGTTTGGCAGAACTGGGTTGCCCCCACACACACCTACGCCCCACGTGTGCGGATTGAAATAAAGCATTAAAATCATGGAGAGACAGGCAAGGACATGACAAGAAAAGGACAAAAACATGCACATGTAATTATATCCTATGCAGTTTACACGCACCATTTAGCACGCAAACTCCCGGTTTAGGGTTTAACAAACTGGGTTTAAGTACTGCAACTGAGTCAGCCTGTCCGCTACAGGGCCAATTCTGACACGGCCAGTCTGACCACACTCTAGCGTCGTGGAAACGTTTCATGACGTAATGAAATAATAGCATCTTTGGGAACACAGTTACTAATTAGCGATTGTATTGAAACTAGCTTATATATCCTACCGATTCCAACTTGCATCTTGATGCAATTGTTTTTCCGTATTCATGAATGTGTTACATGTCAATTTGTATTGCTTTCGATAGCCATTATGCCAAAAAGCGATCAATCTTTGATTCAAAACTCAAAATCAAATCGGTTGCAGTTTCGAAGCCGGAAATAATGACAAGACATAGTTGTTGGCCTGCGTTATTGCAATGGACCACTCTGACGCTGCTTGCATGTCCGCATCATTAAGGCATGAGGCCATTAGACCCAATCTTACAGCCATTAGCCCCGCTTTCCCGGCCACTTTGTCTACCCCAGGAGTACCACCGGTCGGCGTGGTCGTTCTGGCAGAGGCGATGCCAAGGTCCCGAAGGCCTGCCCCGCCGTGGGGTGTCAAGAGTCAGATGAAGGTCGATATTGCAGGCTCCGAAAGATACAGTCGTCGAACGTCGCATGATACTGGCGCTCTCAGCCATGTACGTTCGATGTGTGCTGAAATGTTCCCCAATGCGGAGGTATTGGGCAACAATTTCGACTTTCCAAAGGTATTCGACCGACTACCCGGGCCTATGTTAACGCACCCTGGAGGCCAAAATGTGCTGAACCCTATTCATGACCATTTTGACTG